TCTACCCTGTATAGTGTCCAAAGCATCACTTGAAGAGTACTCACATCGGAGAATAAAATCTTTTCCTAACACCTCAATAGGCTAATGTAACTGTTGGACAGGAAACACCGACAGCTTCTTTCTGAGCATGCATACACTCGAGTTTAAACATACTCGGCTTTAAATAACTTCTTCAGTGCTTTATCTCAACACTCCTGGTTTGGGATTATCACTAATTCCTTTCTCTAAGGTAATCTAGTTTTTCTAAATTCTCCCCTTCTCACGAGTACTGGTCTATGTATCTGTCTTCATCCAAGGTCTCCACACAACTGCCCGAAACTAAAAAAACAAGTCTTTCTCTCTAAGCTGTGAATGTTCTTAAGGCATAGTGATTTTTCTTGCTAAGTCATAAAATATCCTAAGGTAAACATAAACCCATTAGTACTACCAAAGTAGCTCTCTCAAAAGTTAAAAAATCACAATAGCTAGAGAAATAGAAGTTAAATATTAATTTCAGGCATCCCATATTATCATTAACCCAATTGTAAGTTATATTATAAATATATGTAAAAGTGTTTAGACCACACTGTCTACCTTATCTAAGCTTGTCATAATCCAGTACACCTTTATCAAATCTCCCCTTAATATAATTTGTTACAAGGAGGGCAACCTCATCTTTTCCAACACACTTTGTCACAATAAATCCCCCAAATTTCAAACCGTACTGGTAAATCCCCTCTGCACCCTCTCAAATCTTTCCAAAATGTGGTGACCAGAATTGATGCAATTCTCCAATCAGGATCTAACAGAACTTTATATAAGTTCAGGGTAACATGCCTGCCTTTCTGCTTAATACTGTCATTTATGAGGCCCAAAGTCTAGTATGCCTTGTAAACTACATTCTCAGTCTATCCTGCCTTCTTCAACAATGAGTGTGCCTGGACCCCCAGATCCCTGCGCATTCTGTAGAACTGTATCATTAACTCTGCATTGCTATCTCTTCTGCCCAAACACAACAGCTCATATTTCTCCGTATTTAATTCCACCAACTACTTGTTTGCCTAATCTGATAGCTTTTTGTGTCTTCTTGCAGATCCTTCATTTCATCCTATTTATCACACTTCCTGATCTGTTATCATCAGCAAGTTTTGAAATTTTATTCTGTATTCAAATATCTAAGTAAGCATCCATTATATTTATTAAAAACAGTGATCTTTAGTGGCAGGTAACAACAGTCTACCACTCCTGGAAAAAAAACAACAATTTACCATCACACACTGTCTTCTGTCCTTAAGCCTATTTTTTATACATGTTTGGCACTTTCTGTCCTTTCACATGAGGCAGAGTTTTGTTAACTAGTGTTTTAATATCCATTGCACTTCTCTCCTTCATCAATATTTTCTTTTATTTCATTAAAAAACATTAAATTAGATTTTTCAAGTGTGATCCACCTTTTACAGTCCATGCTGGCCCTCCTTAATGAGCTCACCTGTCCAAAAGGATAAGAGCAAAATTGGAACAGTACTGGCAAGTGCATCTCTAAGGTTGTAGAGCATCCTGTCTTAGAATTCAAATCTCTCAGAGTTCTAGGCCTGTCCCTACCTCCAGCCCTGCATCCCTATCCCTGTAACTTCTTCCCGCCTTTCCAACTTTCCTTATCCCTGTAACCACCCCCAGCCCTGACAGTCCCCCCTACCTCTGTAACCAACTTCCAGTCTATGCAGCCTTCCAAGATCTCGGCATTCCTCCAGCCTGGCAATTTTAACATCTGATTTCAGTTGTTCCACCTTTGTGGGCTTTACCTTCAGCTGCCTTGGCCCTAGGGTCTGGAATTCCTTCCTTAAACCCATCTATATTTCTCTTTTCCAACTTCTTTGTGATGCTGTTTAAAACTGACCTCTTCAACGGAGCTTTGGTCACTTCTCTAATTTTACCTCATGGGTTGAAGTAAAGTTTTATCCTGTCTAAAATTCCTACCCAAAGGTCAAGAAAAAAATGCATGAATTAAATTCCGTGGATTCAGATCAATTGAAATGATTCAGCATCAAAATCCATCCATTTAGTGGTTTGAGATTCAAGGAAGTTTTGAGTTGATTGGCAGCTCTCTGCCTTTCATTTCGTTCAGAACTTCTGCCCAATGGAGGGGAGTGAGTATAAGGGTGAGGAGGGTGGAGGTGTGGGGGCTGTGTGAGCAGGGGGAGAGGTGGGGTGTGACTGTAAGGAGGATAGAGTGCAGATGAGTCAGAGAGGGAAGGGAAATGTTGCTTTGTCTGTCACCCTTGATGATACTGTTGTTAGTCTGTTTCTGATATTATTTCTTCAGTCACAGGAAGAATGCTGTTCCCAGGATCTTACCATCAGATCAGCACAGCTTGTCCTTTGAGATGTTATAGTGAGTGTTCACTGCATTTTTTTTAACAGTATTTGAAGTGTGTATGTGCCTGCTGTGAGTGCTCAATTTGTGTGTGTTTACCAGCACTGCAGGTAAAGGGGAACTAGTGCATCCTTTATTTTCAGAAAGCATTTGAGAAGATGCCAAATGAAAGGGTGTTACATAAGGAGCTCAGTGGCATTTGGGGTAACATGTTAGCATAAATTGAGAATTTGTTAAGAGAGCAAAAAACGGAGAGTAGGGTATAACATGGTATTTTTTGGAGGGTTGAGCTGAGACAACTGAAATGAAAACTATGTGAATGATTTTTTGTTTTATTCATGAATGGGATGAGGCGTCGCTGGTCAGGCAGCATTTATTTCCCATCCCTAATTGCCCACAGGGCAGTTCAGAGTCAACCACATTGCAGTGGGTCTGGAGTCACAGGTAGGCCAGACCAGGTAAGGATGGCAGTTTCCTTCCCTAAAGGACTTTAGTGAACCAGATGGGTTTTTCCAACAATTGACAATGGGTTCACGGTCAGCATTAGATTCTTAATTCCAGATATTTAATGAATTCAAATTCCACCATCTGCCGTGGAACCCGGGTCCCCAGAACATTGTCTGGGTCTCTAAATTAACAGTCCAGCGAAAATACCACGAGGCCATTGCCGCCTCTGTTGTTGTTCAAAAGAAAGAGTAATGTGTCTAAATTTGCTGGTAGTACAAAGCCAGGTGGAAATGCAAACTGAGAAGTTTGCAAAGAGGCTGCAAAGTGATTAAGTTAAATGACTGGGTATCTCATTTGCAGCTGGAATGTAATATGAGGTTATTCGCTTTTTTTATTCTTTCAGAGGATGTGGGTCACAGTGACGAGACCAACATTTATTGCTTATCCCTACTTGTTCTTGAACTGAATGATTTGCTTGGCCCTTTCAGCGGACAGTAAAGAATCAATATATTGCATGCAGGCGAAACCAGATAAGGATGGCAGATTTCCTTTCCTAAAGATGATTAGTTGATAGAATGGGTTTTTACATCAATGGTTGGTTTCTTGATCACCATTACTGAAACTAATTCCAGATATATTAATGATTCCAGATAATTACCAGCTGCCATGGTGAGATTTGAATCAACGTTCCCTATATATTAGCCTAGGCTTCTGGATTACTTAGTTCAATCACAATACTACTGCACCATTCCTTCCCCATTCACTTTGGTAGGAAGAATCAAAGATGAGAATTTGTTGCTGTTTAATGGATTTTTGACATTACCATTTTGGAAATCTGTGATTTCAAATATATGTTCCAACCTTTGGGACTGGTACAGGCTTTGAAAGTGTTTGCAACTCTCGAGTGAGTGTGAAAGAGAGCAAGAGTAGATTTGCAGAACTCTGCTTTCCTTCCACAGATACTACCAGACTTGCTGAGTTTCTCCAGCAATTTCTGTTTTTGCTTCTGCTTTCAGACCTCCAGCATCCACAGTTCTTTGTGTTATTTTATGAGAACTGAATTAGTTTAGTTACTGAGAATTTTCTGTCTAATATTTCTGAGGTAACAATGATGGAACTGTCCAAGGTCTCTCACTGTGAGTTAGATACTTTTGCAAAGGGTCCTGGGGACCAGGAGAATTGCCAATTAGAAATTCGAACTTACTGGGCAATTCCCATACAGATCAGCACATTGAGACCTGTGTCTCACATTCCCAACACTTAGAACATTTGTCTAGACTGTGATCTGGAAACTGCAAAAACAGGGTATTTGCATATGTGTGTGGATTAGTAGAATTTGTTATGCTCTGTTACACAGTTTACTGGAACTCCTTTCTTCCCACAGAGTATGTAAATATGAAGGAGGAGTCCACTGATATGCGGGCTATGACTGACAGTGCTGCGCAAACCCTATTTTGGACAGAGTTATTTCGAGGTCAGTGGACATTTTCATCAATTTGTTACCTTCTGTGCAGGTCAAAGATCCTAGAGTGCATTGTGAGGACTATCGATGTCTGTCATAGTCTGGGAAATGTTAATCGTTGTTGATCTGTTCCATCATATAACCTCAGTGACTGATGAATTTTGTTCTGTGCAGGGCTTGCAATGACCTTGAGCTACTTGTTTCGGGAGCCAGCAACCATTAACTACCCATTTGAAAAAGGGCCCCTGAGCCCTCGGTTTCGAGGCGAGCATGCACTGCGAAGATATCCTTCAGGCGAGGAACGTTGCATTGCTTGTAAACTGTGTGAGGCTGTCTGTCCGGCTCAGGTGACGTTGTGACTTGTGTGAAATGGTCTATATTGTTGTTGTTGTCACACTGTTCCTATTTACACTCCTGTGACTTTTTTTCTTTGCTGTCCTCTTTGCAATGGCCACCTCACCCTCCGCTCGTTAGCTGCCTCCTGCGCCATTGTCCTTTCCTCACATTCTCTTTCTGTCCGTCCCTTTTCAGGCCATTACAATTGAGGCAGAGCCAAGGGCTGATGGAAGTCGGCGCACAACGCGTTATGACATTGATATGACAAAGTGCATTTACTGTGGTTTCTGTCAGGAGGCTTGTCCAGTTGATGCAATTGTAGAGGTATGTGCGAAGACACACTATGGAATCTCTCTTGGAACCTTTCACTGCATTATAGAGTTGCTATAGCATACAATGAGGTGTTGGGGTAAACCCTAAAATCTAGCAGACCATAGGGCTACTCTGTCATTAGAAAGAGAGAGAACTCGTGGTGATTTAACCTGAGAGTCACTTTCATCTCGGCAGAAATTGAACCCACACTCTGCATTGCAAATCAACCCTCCAGTCAATTGAACTAACCATTAATGGTATTGTCACTGACCAGTAATCCAGGGACATGGGTTCAAAGCCCACCATGGCAGATGGTCAAACTTAGATTCATAAAATACATTGAATTAATAAAGCTGGACTTGAAAGCTGCTCTAATGGTTACCATGAAACCATTGTTGCTTAATTGTAAAAAGATATGTGATACACTAATGTCCTTTCGAGAAGGAAGTCTGTCACCCTACATGTGACTTGACCCATAACATTGAAGTTGTCTCTTGAAAGTCTTAGCAAACCACTCAGGTGTATTATACCACAAAGACTAATAAAAGGAGTTAAAGTGGTGAGGGAGCCAACAAGAAAAATAAACTACATGACATTAGAACTAGGTTTTGTTGTCACATGTAAAGTATAGGAGTACAGTGAAAAGTGTACAAAATCACCATACTTCGCCATCTTCAGTACAAAGCCCAAAGTTTTGGAAAAAAACATCTTAGATGCAAAAACCGAAACAACCAGCTAAGATACAAAAACCAGAATTTAAAAGAAATGCAGAAAAAAAGAGCCAAGAAGAAAGAGGGGAGCATCCAGATATAACAGTCATGTCTCCGTAAGGGAAGTGGGTCTTCCTCCCCAAAGCCTCGAGTCTCAGTGCCGCTGCCAGCTCAGGCCCTCGGAACTGGACACAGGCGCAGGCCCTCAGAACTCATCCTCACTTATCTGTATATCACAGATTTATTTGTCTGTGACAGTAAGGATAGGAGTGACCACCACACAGTTATTCCACAACCAGTGGATCAGGTCAAAGCACTATAGTACCGCTACCTTCAATTGTGAATGATAGTGATGCATTAAACATCTAACAGGACATGGAGGTTCCATAAATATCCCACATTCAATGATTGGGGATCCTAGCAGATCAGTGCATAAAATAAGGCTGAAGTATTTACATCCATCTTAAGCCACAAGTACCCAGTGGATGATCCATTTCAGCCTCCACTAGAGGTCCCAACTGGCATCTCGGATACCAGTCTTCAGCCAATTTGATTCACTTCAGGTAGTATCACAAAATGGCTGGAATGCAAGATACTGTGGACCCTTTTTTTTTTTAATTCATTCACGGGATGAGGGAGTCACTGGCTAGGCAACATTAATTGCCCAGAGGGCAGTTGAGAGTCAACCACATTGATGTGGGTCAGGAGTCACGTGTAGGCCAGACCAGGTATGGACGGTAGTTTCCTTCCCTAAAGAACGTTAGCGAACCAGATGGGTTTTTCTGACAATTAACAATGGATTCGTGGTCATCATTAGACTCTTAATTCCAAATATTTATTGACAACATTCTCACAAAAGTACTGAAGATGTGCTCTAGAACCAGATGCATTTCTAACCAAGCTGTTCCAGTATACCTACAGCACTGATAACTACCCAACAATATGGAAAATTACTCCAACCTGGCCATTTACCACTCAGTCAGTTGACTCTCGATCAGCAGAATGGTGGAAGGGATTGTCAACAGTGGCACTTACTCAGCAATAACCTGCTCACTGATGTTTCAGTTCCGTTAGGAACAAAATTTCTGACCTCATTACAGCCTTGGTTCAAACATAGACAAAGGAGCTGAATTTCAGAGCTGAGGTGGAAGTGACAGCCCTTGACATTAAAGCAGCATTTAACCAAGTATGACATTAAGGAGCAAAACTAGAGTCAATGGGAATGGGAAAATGCCATTGTTTGGAGTCATACCTAATACAAAGGAGGATTGTTGTGGTTGTTGGAGGTCAGACATCTCAGTTCCAGGATATAACTGCACAAGTTCCTTGGGGTAGTATCCAGAGCTCAACCGTTTTTTGTAATTGTTCATGGAATGTGGGTGTCACTGGCTAAGCCAGCTTTTATAGCCCATCTCACATTTACCCAGAGGGCCTTTAAGTGTCAACCATATTGCAGTGAATCTGGAGTCACATAGGCCAGACTGAATTCCAGTAAACCAGCTGAGTTTTCACCATGTTTGACAGTTCTAAGGCCAACATTAGGCTAGCTTTTTACTGAATTTACATTTCACCTGCCATGGTGAGATTCAAACCCATGACAAAAACTTTAGCCTTGGCTTCTGGATTACTGGCCCAGTGACATAGAACATAGAACATTACAGCGCAGTACAGGCCCTTTGGCCCTCAATGTTGCGCCAATCTGTGAAACCAATCTGAAGCCCATCTAACCTAAACTATTCCATTATCATCCATATGTTTATCCAATGACCATTTAAATGCCCTTAAAGTTGGCGAGTCTACTACTTTTGCAGGCAGGGCATTCCATGCCCTTACTACTGTCTGAGTAAAGAACCTACCTCTGACATCTGTCCTATATCTATCACCCCTCAATTTAAAGCTATGTCCCCTCGTGCTAGCCATCACCATCCGAGGAAAAAGGCTCCCACTGTCCACCCTATCTAATTCTCTGGTCATCTTGTATGTCTCTATTAAGTCACCTCTTAACCTTCTTCTCTCTAACGAAAACAGCCTCAAGTCCCTCAGCCTTTCCTCATAAGACCTTCCCTCCATACCAGGCAACGTCCTGGTAAATCTCCTCTGCACCCTTTCCAATGCTTCCACATCCTTCCTATAATGCGGTGACCAGAACTGTACGCAATACTCCAAGTGCGGCCGCACCAGAGTTTTGTAAAGCTGCAACATGACCTCATGGCTCCGAAATTCAATCCCTCTACCAATAAAACCTAAACACACCATACGCCTTCTTAACAACCCTATCAACCTGGGTGGCAACTTTCAGTGATCTATGCACATGGACACCGAGATCTCTCTGTTCATCCACACTACCAAGAATCTTACCATTAGCCCAGTACTCTGTATTCCTGTTACTCCTTCCAAAGTGAATCACCTCACACTTTTCCGCATTAAACTCCATTTGCCACCTCTCAGCCCAGCTCTGCAGCTTATCTATGTCCCTCTGTAACCTGCAACGTCCTTCCGCACTATCCACAACTCCACCGACTTTGGTGTCATCCACAAATTTACTAACCCATCCTTCTACGCCCTCATCCAGGTCATTTATAAAAATGACAAACAGCAGTGGCCCCAAAACAGATCCTTGAGGTACACCACTAGTAACTGAACTCCAGGATGAACATTTCCCATCAACCACCACCCTCTGTCTTACAGCTAGCCAATTTCTGATCCAAACTGCTAAATCACCCTCAATCCCATGCCGCCGTATTTTCTGCAATAGCCTACCATGAGGAACCTTATCAAATGCTTTACTGAAATCCATATACACCACATCAACCACTTTACCCTCATCCACCTGTTTGGTCACCTTCTCAAAGAACTCAATAAGGTTTGTGAGGCACGACCTACCCTTCACAAAACCATGTTGACTATCCCTACTCAAATTATTCCTTTCTAGATGATTATAAATCCCATCTCTTATAATCCTTTCCAACACTTTACCCACAACCAAAGTAAGGCTCACTGGTCTATAATTACCAGGGTTGTCTCTACTCTCCTTCTCGAACAAGGGGACAACATTTGCTAGTCTCCAGTCTTCTGACACTATTCCTGTAGACAATGACAACATAAAGATCAAAGCCAAAGGCTCTTCAATCTCCTCTCTAGCTTCCCAGAGAATCCTAGGATAAATCCCATCCGGCCCAGGGGACTTATCTATTTTCACCCGTTCCAGAATTGCTAACACCTCCTCCTTATGAACCTCAATCCCGTCTAGTCTAAATACCACAATGCCACCATTTCCCTTGTGCTTCATCAATGACCATCCTTCTATTGTAAGGTCAGAAGTGGGTTACTTGCTGATGATTGCGTATGTTCAGCACCATGTGCAACTATTTTAAATTTGCAATTATTTTCTCTACATGATTATCCAATTCATTTTTGAATGCCATTATTGAACCTGCCTCCACACCACACTCGGGTGTCAACCGCATTGAAGATCCTAATCACTTTGCTACATGTGAAGGATTTTCCCTATGCCTCTATTAATCCTTTAGTAAATTGGCTTAAATCTGTATCCTCTGGTTCTCATTCTTACCACTAACAAGTACTGTTTCTTTTTATCTATCCTGTCTAGAGTCTTTGATTTTGGATGCCTCTCAAATCTTTCCTTGAACATCTCTTATTCTCATGATTAAAAGAAACCCTGTCCTCAGAATCATTCTCTTTACTACATCCTCATCTTTCTTAAAATCTGGTGGCCTGAATTGGACACTTGCATCGGTTTTGAGGTTAAATCAGTATTTCATTGTAATTTTGTTGCTTTTATTATTCTATGCCTGTGTTGTATTTATAAAGCCTACAATCCTATAAATTTATTAAACAGAAGCATTTAAATAGCAGGAATAAATCAAGCCTGCTGTGCAAATCAGTGAGATTGTGGCTAAACTTCTAACTCGGTTCCTTTTTGCTGCCTGTTCCCCATATCCCAATTCCCTAGGAGATAAGAAATCTATCTCCCTACACAAATGGAAATCCCTTTTGTGCTACTTGTCTGTCCTTGAGAGAACACAATGTAATTGGCTGTCATGGCGCAAACAAGCTATATCACCCATGAAATGAATGAATGAATGAATGGGTGATGTACTGGGAGATATTGGATATGTTACCTGCCCCCCATTTGGAAAACTCCAGACAATGATATTTAGTGTTGCTGTGACTTTACAACCTTTACTGTCCTCTCCCTGAGATGGTGCTCCAGATTGCATTGAAGGAGGTGGCACAATTCTGTAAACATCTGAATGAATGTGCATCACCTTCAGCATTGCTCCTGTTTCGTTTGGAGGTAAGAGAAGAGCTCTTGACAGACCTGTAGTTTGTAGCATCATCTGTGAAGACTCAACATTTCCTTCTTCCTGTTTGCAGAGTTTGCTGTCTGCAGCCTCTGAAGTGTTTATTTGTCAAGTTACAGAACCAGAGGCACTGTAATAATTGGAAATATCATGAGATCTCAACACAATTTGCCCTTGCAACTAATCCACGATTGTTCAGTGACTGTTAAATTTACCTTCTTTCATGGTGACATGCTTTATCTTGACAGGGCCCTAACTTTGAGTTCTCCACTGAAACACATGAGGAATTGCTGTATAACAAGGAGAAACTTCTGAACAATGGGGACAAGTGGGAAGCAGAGATCGGAGCCAATATCCAGGCTGATTACCTGTATCGCTGATTGTGCCGCAGGCTGACTGTAGCACTAACATCTCCCTTGATGTGTGTGAATAAATGTGACTTTTCAAACCAATCAGAGGTGCGTTTCTTTAAACATTGGTCAGTTGTCCTGATCTCCATCGGAAGTTTATCTCTCTGGTTCGGAGCTGAGCAGCAGAGAAATGTCATTAGCTTGTAAACTGCTGTTTCCTGGATCACTGGTACCTCCTGGTCTTTTGCCCTGTTTCCACTTCAGCTTCAGAATGGCAATGGCAGATTGGTGGCCAATGCATCAGAAAGGTAAGGATATTTTTAGTGAGTTAAATATATCCATATTTAAAAATCCAAAGGACTAACAAAATAGCAGCTTATTATGAGCAATTTTCAGAAATTTACCAAATTTTGCCTGCCAGCATTTCACCTTGAAACTGAACCCAAAATAAAACCTTGAAATCCAACATAGGCACAATGAGTGACCACTTCATTAGTCTTGCCAATAGATGGCAGAAGCAGTTCAACAACAGAATGAAATGGTTCAGACCAAAATTTCAATGAATTAGTCGCTTGTGAGCTGCTATTCAATTATGCATAATGTTTCGAGGCTGACAAGCTAGGAACCAACTGTATTCTTTGGAACCAGCATTTAATTCATACAAAGCCTTATAATGTTGGTAACCCAAAGTCTTTCCCATTGAAATATCTGCTCATGTTAATGGGCCAGTTAGGAACCCAGGATGTGATGTCTGCTCCCGCCTCACCAGAAAAGATAAACTCCCACATCTGCAATGATCTGTTCTAAATTGTAACTAGACTTTTCCGGTCCCTTTGAAAATGCTGTAATGCTATCTGGCAGGTTTGCCAATGAATCCAGAATCTCGGTGTGAATATACACCAGCATTCTCATGTAGGCCATTCCATTATAGTACTTACCAGAATCCCCTGTTGGAGAACTCGTCTGTTGACTCACCACCCCCCCCGCCAGCCACCAAGTGAGGGACATGTGCTCTCGTTAACCCCCCCACCCCTGACCTACCTGTAGACTGCTGGTGACTGGCCAAATGCTTCTGTCCTCTTCAGCATGATCCGCGAGGGTTTTCTCGCTCCCACAGAAACGTGCCATATCTCCTCTTGACCTCTTTGATTCAGGTTTCTTGATTTGCAAGTAAGAGCTACAGAGATCTTTCTTTGCTCCAGTGCTCCATTTCCCTTCTCTCCAACTGCAGCACTGAGAGTGAGATGCAGCCTCTTTTGATTTAGCGTCTCGCATACTGTTTGTCCTGGTATGAGCATGAAACCAGCTAGAAACATGGATCATACTACGTTGAATCCAGAGAATGTAACAGATGCTTCACTGTTGGAATTTCATTGGCCAGAATTTTCCTCTTTGAAATACCTTCATATGTTAGTGAACAATTAATCCAAGATGTGAGATTGTTTGCAATAAGTAAGAAAGTACAAATCTGGGGAGGGGATTTTGCCAATCATTTCCAGAAATGGCAGAATTCTAGTGTTATTAAGAAATGTGAGTTAAGCAGTAGTATCAACTTTTAAAAATTTAACAATGGAAGTGCAACTTGGAAATTAAGGGAGTGGTCTTTGTCAGAGTCTACTAATTTAAATTAGAGGGAGCAGAGGTACTGATGTTTGGAAGTTATTGGTGTTGAAATAAACTGTTAAAAGGATGAAGTGTGGAAGATGAGGACACCACATCAGAAAAGTGGGAGTCAGTGTATCAGAGATAGGCCTAGTTCTGATCAAAACCGAATGTTAGTGAACTATTCAATAACCAGGACTCTTACTCAACATTACCATGCCATTTAAAACAAGATGTTTATCACTGAAACAACAAAGTAGTGTGGGGACATAGTCTGATTATTCTGTTGTGAATGGTATTGGCATGTGTGTACAGTTAATGGGAGGGAGACACTCCATGGACATTCAAAGCTTATGAGAATGCCAGAATTAGGCCTTAGGATTGGGAGCAATTTATGACCCAGTAAAGGAGGACCAATTTGCAACTCCTCAGATACTGAAGCAGTCCACGTTCGAATGCAACAAGATCTTGATAATATCAAGGCTCAGGCTGACAAGTAGCAAATAACATTCACACCACACAAATGCCAGCCAATGACCATCTTCAAATAGAGACAATCTAACCATCATTCCTTGATATTCAATGGCCTTGATTTTGAGTGGTGCGAGAAGTGGGAGTGCAAGCCAGGGGGCAGCCAGGAAGGTAAGGTTTTCCTTATAAAAACTTACCTTGAGAGTCAGCGGCCTTCTTGATTTCAGCAGCGGGAGAGGTGAGAGTGCGAGCCGGGAAGTGAACTATTATATTCGGGCATTGGCTAAACCGGAAACACTACACGTATAGTGTCTTCCACCCATGCTCCTCCTCTAACCAAAAAAAAAAGACTGTGTGGGGGGTCGGTAAGGTAAGGTTTATTTTCTTTGTTATTTTGGCAATCTAGAGTAGAGGCAATGGAAGCTAGGGCAGTTGCATGCTCCTCTCGCAGGATGTGGGAGGTAAGGGTCACCACTAGTGTCCCTTCTGACTTCACCTGCGAGAAGTGCACCCAACTCCAGCTCCTCACAGACCGCGTTAGGGAACTGGAGCTGGATGAACTCCAGATCATTCGGGAGGCTGAGGGGGTGATAGAGAGGAGTTATAGGGAGGTGGTCACACCCAACATACAGGACAAAGGTAGCTGGGTGACTGTCAGGAGAGGGAAAGGGAATAGGCAGACAGTGCAGGGATACCCTGTGACCGTTCCCCTCAACAATAAGTGTAGCACTTTGGATACCATTGGGGTGGGGGGGAGGTGTTACCTACCCGGGGAAAGCCATAGCGGACAGGTCTCTGGCGCTGAGTTTGGCTCTGTGGCTCAGAAGGGAAGGGGGGAGAAAAGGAGAGCAACAGTGACAGGAGATTCAATGGTTAGGGAAACAGACAGGAGATTCTGTGGTACTGAGCGAGGCTGCTGGGTGCCAGGGTTGGGGATGTCTCGGATCGGGCCTTCAGGATTCTTAAAGGGGTGGGAGAGCAGCCAGAAGTCGTGGTACAAATCGGTACCAATGACATACCTAGGAAATGAGTTGAGGACCTGAAAAGTGAATATAGGGAGTTAGGATGGAAGCTGAAAGCCAGGACAAGTGGAGTAGTAATTGAGATAATCCTGAGGGATTACTACTGGTGCCATGGGCTAGTGAGGCCAAAAATAGACAGCGAGTGCAAGTGAACACGTGGCTACGGAACTGGTGTAGGAGGGAGGGCTTCAGATTTGTGGATCATTGGGATCCTTCTGGGGAAGGTGGGACCTGTACAGGAAGGACGGGGTGCACCTGAACTACAGGGGCACTAATATCCTGGGCGGGAGGTTTGCTAGAGCTCTTCGGGAGGGTCTAAACTAGTTTGACAGGGGGATGGGAACCGGAGCTACAGATCAGAGGATGGGGTAGCCAGTGTAAAGATAGATAGAGTAAGCACAGAATCTGTGAGGAAGGATATGCAGTTGATAGGGAAAAGTGGCAGTCAGTGCAACGGGTTGAGCTGTGTCTACTTCAATGCAAGAAGTGTCAGGAATAAGGGTGATGAACTTAGAGCATGGATCAGGACTTGGAACTATGGGATAACACAGGGACAGGAATGGTTGTTGGAAGCTCCAGGGTATAGATGTTAAAAAAGAAATAGGGAGGGAGGTAAAAGAGGTGGGGGAGTGGCATTGCTAATCAGGGATGGTATCACAGCTGCAGAAAGGGAGGTCATGGAGGAGAGTTTGTCCACTGAGTCAGTATGGGTGCAAGTCAGAAACACAAAAGGAGCAGTCACTTTATTGGGAGTTTTCTATAGACCCCCTAATAGCAACAGAGGTGCTGAGGAACAGGTTGGGAGACAGATTTTGGAAAGGTGAAGAAGTAATAGGGTTGTTGTCATGGATGAGTTCAACTTCCCTAATATAGACTGGAACCTCTGAAGTGCAAGTAGTTTGGATGGAGCAGATTTTGTCAGGTGTGTCCAGGAAGGATTTCCGACTCAATATGTAGATAGGCCGACAAGAGGGGAGGCCATATTGGATTTGGTGCTTGGAAACGAACCAGGCCAGGTGTCAGATCTCTCAGTGGGAGAGCATTTCAGTGATCGTGATCACAACTCCCTGACCTTTACTATAGTCATGGAGAAGGATAGGAGCAGATGGTATGGGAAAGTATTTAATTGGGGGAGAGGGAATTACAATGCTATTAGGCAAGAACTTCGGAGCATCAGTTGGGATCAGATGTTCTCAGGGAAATGCATGATAGAAATGTGGAGGTTGTTTAGGGAGCAGTTGCTACAGGTACTGGGTAAGTTTGTCCCACTGAGGCAAAGAAAGGATGGTAAGGTGAAGGAACCCTGGATGAATAGACATGTGGAACACCTAGTCAAGAGGAAGAAGGAAGCTTACTTAAGGTTGAGGAAGCAAGGATTGGACAGGGCTCTAGAGGTCTACTAGGTAGCTGGGAAGGAACTGAAGAATGGACTTAGGAGAGTTAGAAGGGGATGTGAGAAAACCTTGGCAGGTAGGATCAAGGAAAACCCCAAGGCTTTCTATACTTATGTGAGGAAAAAGAGGATGGCCAGAGTGAGGGTAGGGCCAATCAGGGATGGTGGAGGGAACTTGTGCACGGAGCCAGAGGAGGTAGGGGAGGTTCTTAATGAATACTTTGCTTCATTATTCACCGTGAGAGGGACCTTGACGTTTGTGAGGACAGCATGAAACAGGCAGATATGCTCGAACAGGTTGATGTTAGGAAGGAGGATGTGCTAGAAATTTTGAAAATGCAGCTATTAGATAGGCATATGGATGATAGTATAAGGTAGGGGTGGAGGTTATATAGACCTTAGGATTAGGATAAAAGTTCGGCACAACATCGTGGGCTGAAGGTCCTGTACTGTGCTATATTGTTCTATGTTCTATAAGTCCCCTGGGCCAGACAGGATATATCCAAGGTTATTACAGAGAGTGAGGGAAGAGATTGCTGCCCCTTTGGCAATGATCTTTGCGTCCTCAGTGTCCACTGGAGTAGTACCAGATGATTGGAGGGTGGCAAATGTAA